ATCCTTTTGGAAGGATTCCTCAAACTGTACATTCATTTTTGTAGCCCTCTTTTTCTCCAGTCTAGATGAAAGATCCATCCAATATTTGAGGCCCTCAGTTATTGTCTTCTACCAAGAGAAAAAGGATAATGGGTCTAGAGATGTAAGGTCTTTAACAATGTACAACCCTAAGCATTTAATATGTGAATTAGTGGTCTTTAAATGGTTATCCTTTAAGCAGATCAGAATTATTCTTGGCAACTAATGGATGTATCTGTACAATGGAATTTGCCCATTAATGATAGAAGGGTTTCTAAAGATCTTTTAACATGAGATAAATAAAGCAGTAGATCAACAGAAGATAGGTACATTTCATAATAATCACTCTGAAAGAGCTATTTCAAGTAATAATTACCCACTCAGAAATGATGGGGGAATTTCTAATGGCTATAACTCTAAGATTCACTTACCATGTGGCAAGACAAATCTGCTATTTCCCCAAGCTTAAAAAGGAAACATTCATTAATGGGAAAATAATGTCTTAATTCACTCTCTTAACATTTTTAAATTAAATTAATAAAATACAATGTTTTCATCTCTACAGTTTTACTCACTTTCCTAAGGATAATATTTTTTAAAATCTATCCTTCCGTGCATAAAAAGCTGACAAAACAGTGTATTCCTTTCCTGTTCCCAGGCAAGCCTTCCTTCTATAAGACATACCTTCCCTTTCCTGATAAAAAGTTATTCTCACTAACCATTTCAACTTTTGGTAGTCTTTTCTCCTAAATCTCCAGTTTAAATCGGTTGATATGTTGTGGCTTATCTAGTTGTATAAACCTCTTTCTATGAACTTGGCCGCACAACTCAGAAAAAGCAATATGTTTTCCTGGTGCCAGGCTGAGAAGAACAAAGAGGCCAGTCCCTACTCCTTAGAGTTGAGTAAAGGGAAGGAAGGACAGCTCTGTCTTTCCTGGAACTTTCTTCATTTGTAGGCTTACTTATTCAATTGGTACTGGTGTTAGGAGATGTGCCAGAAGGAACTATCAGTGGAAAAGTAACTGGGGAGGAAGCCAGAAGTCAAAATAAAGTCAAAACAAACATTCCCATATGTATAAAATTAGGGATTCACAAAAGTCTCCAAATCTATTGTTGTAAATATCAGGGGTCAACCGCACTATTTACGATGCTTAAATATGACATAATTTTTGTTACTCTATGTGAATATTTTTTTTATTATTTTTAATTTGGGTAAAATACAACATTTGCCATGTTATCCATGTTTAATGTAGAGTTGAGTGGCTTTAAGTGCATTCACACTGTTGAGCAACAACCACCACTATCCACCTCCAGAACTTTTTCATCATCCCAAACAAAAACTCCGATTCCATTAAACAATAATTCCCCATTCATCCCTCCCTCCAACCCCGGTAACCACTATTCTACTTTACATCTCTATAAATTTGACTACTCTAGGTACCACATATACGTGAAATCATACAATATTTGTCCTTTGCGTGTGGCTCATTTCACTTAGCATAAGATCTTCAAGGTTTATATATATTGTACCATGTGTAAGAATTTCACTCCTTTTAAGACTAAATATTCCTTGTATGTATATATCACTGTTGTATATATTCTGTTTATCCAATTATGTGTTGATGAACATCTGAACTGTTTCCACCTTTTGGCTATTGTGACTAAAGCTACTATACACATGGGTGTACAAATATCTGTTTGAGTCCCTGCTTTCCATTATTTAGGGTATATACCCTGAAGTGGAATTGTTGGATCAGTGGTACTTGTGTGTTTAATTTTTTAGGACCTGTCATACAAATTTTGAGGAACTGCCACGCAAATATTTTTAACAGAACTAATATAGTTAGTTTAACGGTTTCAAAGCTTAAATTCAAATAATAATTATCCTCACTACTGGTTTCAGTAAAATAATTGAAATAAACATCACACTCACCCTTTAATAGCTTTTATTTGCTGGTACAAACATCTTGTACAAATTGCACTGTTTCTAGTCCAGGATGTCTACAACCATATGTGCTCTTTTATTTCTCTGGAAGCTGTCCATGGATTTTTCTTGGTGATTCGTGGCTTCTGATTCTTAATTATTAATTGTGTTTTGATGGCAGAAACCCAAAAGCAGAAGAACCATCTACTGTGAAATTTGTTCATCAGAATTTAGGTTCACCTTGTGCACTGCTGGTGGGCACGTAAATGGGTGCAGCCACTATGGAAAACAGTAAGAGGGAGCCTCAAAAAATTAAAAATAGAACTACCATATAATCCAGCAGTTCCACTTCTGGAAATATGTCTGAAAGGAACAAAAACACTAATTCAAAAGGATACATGCATCCTTATGTTTATTGCAGCAATATTTATTATAGCCAAGACATGGAAACAACCTAAGTGACCACTGACGGATAAATAAAGAAGTTGTGGTATATATATATATATATATATATATATATATATATATATATATATATATATATATATATATATATATATATATATATATATAATGGTATATTAGTTAGCCATAAAAGATGAAGAAATCTACCATTTGTGACAACATGGATGGACCTTGAAGGACCACAAACTCATAGAGAAAGAAACCAGATTTGTGGTTACCAGAGGCAGGGGATTGGGAGGAGGAGGAATTGGAGAAAGATGGTCAAAAGGAACAAACTTCCAGTTATAAGATGAAGACATCCTGGTGATGTAATGTACAACACGATGGCTATAGTTAACACTGTTGTATGATAAGCAGGAAAATTGTTAAGAGTATAAATCCTAAGAGTTCCCCTCACAAGGAGAACATTTTTTTCTTCCTTCTCTTCTTTATATTGTATCTATATGAGACGACAGATGTTAGCTGAACTTATGATAATCATTTCACAGCATATGTAAATCACACCAGCTACATAGCTAAAACTTATAGAGTGATTTATGTCCATGATTTCTCAATAAAACTGGAAAATAAATAAAAAGTGAAGAGTTAAAATAAAGGATTTAAGTTCACATTTTCTTTTACCCCAAGGTAGTTTTTACTTACTTCTTCATACAAGTCAGAAAAAAATGACAGTTATGATCATGGTCTGTTAACTTTTGATCTTGTAGTTTATTTTGCAATGTGTTTCTGTTCCCATTTGTAAGAAAATAACTTACTTAAAATGACTGGGGATCTTTTTTCCTCCTTTGATTATAGCAACGTCAATTGTGTTTTCAAGTGGTGTCCTGGGTAGTTTTTTTTTTTTTTTAATGTTATGTTAATCACCATACATTGCATCATTAGTTTTTGGTTTCCTGGGTGTTTTAATGTAACAATACAAATATTGCCCATCATAAGTCTTATTCAAAACCCTTTCAGATCAAAACCCAGCTCAAATATTCAATATCCACTGAAGTCATACACTTAAGAGAAATAACTTTTGACCTTAAAGTCCGTATAGGAATCAAATGCCAGTTTTGTGTGTCTCTCATCAACAGCAAAACTGTGGTTTGTTTCAATACAATAATGTCAGTGATGAAATATGCAGGGAAAGCAAGGAATTGAAATAAAATTTAGTGAAACGTTCTCCCTACCTTATTTTATTTATGCATTACACTGCAGCCCAGTAATGACCCAGATTTCTGTAAAAATATTTACTTAACTCTGAAAATATGTGTAGCATTACATGTTGTGATAGCATAATCAAATTAGATATAATCTTCTTATTCAGGGGCTATGACACTATACATCTCCAAATTTGAAATCTGCTGAAGTTTCTTTGCTTCGGAGAGACTTAAATCAACTCAGATCTTTAAGTGTGTAGCTTCATTTATTCTGAACCAAATATATTTTCCCTTTTAGGGAGAGAGTATCTTTAAAAGGCTCATTAATAAAATCCTAATGAGGCATCTTGGACTTTGGAGAATACTCATGTCATTAAGTATGGAAAGTTGTAAAATGTAAAGATAAGATTTCTTATCAAATACGCAACAGCAAAATGTTCCTGACAAAACCAGAACATTCTAAAAAAGTCAAAAACTTTTCTAATGCCTTTGTAAAACAGCAAAGTAATTATGCTGATACCTTATGAACCAAAGATCTTATTTTCTTCTTGTGACTTGGGTACAGTAGACACACCTATAGAAAGAAAAATTGGCACTCCTTGTTAGGTTTGTAGCCCAGATGGCCTTATGGCTTTAACTTTGAGGATATAAATGGTCTGTTTCTGGAACCATGTAAATATGCAAAGAAAATGCATGCCAATTTACCAAGTGAAAGGACTATTTGAAGAAATGTAAATGTAAGAACATTAACAGGGATCCAAGATCTGTAATAAATAAAGGCTGAAACTGAAAAAAAAAACCCTCCCCCCCAAAAGAAACCAAAAAACTGTGGATAAATATAATCATTGTAATAAAAGCAGAACTTGAATCCAACGACAATAAAATTTTACCTAAGGCTATCAGTTGGCATCAAATGGAGGATCAGTGATAATGGGAAGCATAAGAAGGGCATAAAAATTTTGGAAGCTGTTAAAATCGTCAAAGGTCAAAATACTTGTTTTAATCTAGCAACAAATTCATTTTCCAACTAGGCTCATTCACATATGGCCTTGTGCCCATTGCACTGTTGCACATTGGCAGTTCACAGTTTATTAGAGGCATCCAAACTACCAACAGATATAAATCACAGAATCATTGATCTTCAAAGAACCTCAAGAAATGATCTGGTCTGCCCCCTAAACAGACATTTAAACCTTTCAAGACAAAATATCACCTCTCTAATTTTAGAAATCCTCAGGAAAATTTCTGCCACAGTTCTTTCTGTTCAAAGATGATTTAACACATTTACCTGTTTAGCTTTGTGGCCCCTGAGTTAAGAACATAAACTACAATTTTATTTAAATTAAGCCAGCTTAGAATTTTTTCCTTTCTGCAAATGTCTCTTTTCTTTATTTGATCTTCAAAACTGCTGAGCTGATTTTAATATTTAAAAAAAAAAACTTACTCCTAGGCTGTAAACCTGCATGACAAATTCCAGCCCAGAGCAACATTTTATGATCCAGTGTCAAGTTCTTGAAAAATGAAAAATGAGAGGAAAGAGAGATTTAACTGTAATGTGGATACATTTTGGACTGGATGTTAACCAATTGAATAAGGTGTGTGTGTTTAAGCATAAAAGCTGACTGTATTTGTCTTTTCTGATATGAGCATGCAAAACCTTTTATTTTCATAATCAGGGCCAAATGTATTTTGTACTCTGAACTTGAACCAGAACTCAAAAGGGGAATGAAAGAGCATTATCCATGCAAGCAATAGATTTGAGGCAAGTTTTAATTGAAAAAAAAAAAAATCCCACCATCTATTCATTTTTAAAGCATGAGCTGCATTCAACACATAAATCCTTCATTATTCATACATGGAAGTATGTGTTTAATGATTAAGTCTCTAAGGATTTATTTGATAGAATAATCTAAATGTCTTTTTTTAAAAAGGCAAATGAAACGTGGTTTTTAATTTTTTAAAGGACAAGTTACAAAGCATGCAAAAATATAACACAGACTCTTAGTTTTTAAAACTATATCTGCAATTTGCCTATCCACTGGTTTGTTCATCTGGATATCAGTAACATACAGACTTGATCTAATAATGGCTAATTATGCAGTTGTTTATCAGCTCATTTGAAACATTTTGAGATTCAGTCTAGCTCAGCAAATTACTGTGCTTAAGGCAGTTCTGTATTCTAGAAAATTATAACATCCCCAGAAGGCAAAGAATTAATAATAAAAATCCTCTTTTGTAAAAGATTATCATTGCAGAGCAAATGGAGCAGATCTTCCCTATCCTACTGCATTTAATATTCTCATTTTTTCCCTGAAACTTTGATGGAGAGGCAATGAGAATATCTCTGTTTTATTAACTTATTAAGAGGCACATTTATAGAACTCGTGCACTATATTGATTCCTAAAGCTGCAATGCTGCTAAGAGCCAATAATCACAGAAGAGCAGGATGATTCAATTTGTTAGCCCAGAATGTTTCTGAAACTCAGTAGAGCCCACATTTTCACCCAGTTCAGAGAGCCTGGTTATTTAACTTCTCTGATCCTCCATTTTTTCATCTGTAAGACAGCGGTAAGAGCCAAAGGCAGCCTCTGGATGTTGTGAGGTGTGAATGAGACAATGCGTGGAATGCACCTAATACAATGCCTGTCTCCAGTAAATAATGTTAGTTTTAGTTATTATGGCTACGATGGTCATTACTTCTTGTGGTGCAGGACTCAAATAAGATGTATGCATTTAATTAGCCATTTGCCTCAGTAGTCATGCAACTTTTCAATCTCAATATCTTTATATCAGCTGAAAGTTTAACAGGACCTTACCGCTCCAGCACTTTTTAGCCCAAAATTACCTCACCAAGCCAACATCCAACCAGTCAGAATGGGTGGGATACGATGATCTGAGATAAATCACCTACACAAGAGTTTGGAATCATTCCAACTTCATAGCAGTTGGACTTGACAACATAGTATTTTAAAAAGCACTTCGGGTTGCTTCTATTGAACTACACCAAATAGTTTTGAACTTTTTCTTCATGATTCAGATTTTGTCATAGATTTCTGCCACCTTCATTTCCTTCACATTGGATCATTGCATCATATTTTAAGAAGGAAAAAAATCTTTAAAAACTATCCAGAAGCCTTAGCTGGAACATATGAGACTATTTGCTTTATAGCATTATTTGCACAGAATATATGTAATCAACTTCATTTATTTTGTCGACCAGGACTACTTTTTGACTTCCTGGTAAAATGTAGTGTGCTACCTTTAGTTTATAAATGTGCCTGAAGCCTCCCTCTCCCTCTTTCCTTCTCTCCCACCCTCCCTGCTTCCCTCTCTATCTCCATATATATGTACATACACAAATTTATATATGTGTATGTGTATATATATGTGTGTGTATATATGTATACATACACAAACTATATCTTCATTTGTATATTTGAGGAGTTCAGTTAATGAGTGCTTCTCAAAAACCGGTATCCTAAAGCTAAACTTGGGGGCTGATGGTGGCTCAATTTCCCCTTGCAATTCTTGGCTTCTAGATATCTCTGCCTCTCTTGGTTTGGGAAAACAACTCATGTTGCAGAGCATTTCAACTTAAGGACAATGAACATACTATTAAGCTTTTTTCTTTTCCTTTTTTTTTTTTTTTTGCCCTGAAATGCGAAAAGCAAACTATCCAAATAGTAGAGACTAACTATACAAGTTAGCTATTCTTCACCTCACTCTATAGCCAGTGCCTGATTTTTTCTGATTTTAAAACATGCAAGCAACTTTCCTTAACTTTAAAAACACCCAGGAAAAGCCTCTTCCCCTTGATTATTCCTCCAGCATTCCTACGGGAAAGTGAAATCCATTCCTAGGGGAAAGTAATCGGTTACATATGTAGAAGAGTAAAATGCAACCGAACAGAGGAAAAGTCCACGCAGGGTGCAGAGGCCAACAGCTGTAAGAAGCAGAGGCCTGCTGGAAAGCAGTGAGCCGGGAATGTGTTTCTGCTGTGTAGACTCCCAGGACCTCAGCATGCGGGAGCAGAAAGTTTTGCACCCCTTTCATCGGGGAAACCGTTAAATGGGCTCTGTGTCTCTCTCTACTTACTAGCGGGATGGTTTAGAAAAAGCTAACCTGGAAAGGGCAAGGTGTCTTTCACCGAAGGTTTCCAGAATCCAGTCAAACCCCTTGCCCCGGGCCGGGAAAGCACCTCCTTTCATCGCACCCATCACAAGCCCGTGCTGGTGCTGTTTCTGCTGTTTCGTCTCTCCATGTTCAGCCTGCTGGAATCGCCATAAGTCACCTGGAAGTTAGGTGATGAGCAGCCGGTGTTGTGGTAAGAATTAAACACCACTCACGGAGCGTCTGTGGCCTCTGCCCCCTCGTGGGCCAGGCAGGAGTCACCTTGGCCGAGAGACAAAATGCAGAAACTGTCATGGTGCTGCCTGCGTTCGCTCAGGCTGGGGGAGTAAATGGAAATTTTCACTTTCCGGCTGCATGTGTTGATCCCGCAGCAGCCATATTATGGAATTTCAATTCTTCCACCTCCCTTGAGGAACTAATTTATTCTCATCCTGGCAGGATCTCGAAAAGAGTTTGTAGAGTCTCGCCGTAGTACCGTAATGCAGAAGGCAGAGTGACGTTTTTAATAGAAACATAACAGCTCTTAAATTTCATTTGCAACATCGTCAGTAGACTAAGTGCATGTTGGGCATATTAAGAAGAGGTCTGGGGAATTTGATGCTCCTTCGTCTTGGGCCGAAGTCAATACAGATGTGACCAGTCCGCTGAATGACAATCATTGATTGGCAAGAACGTACAAATAACTAACCATCCTCTTTATCTAAAAGGAACGTATTTTCTTCCACACTAGAGCCCTAAGTTATGCGGGACACTGTTCATCGTAAACACCCTAAGAATCCGTTATTTAATTCACACACCTTTTGGATCATTGAAAGAATCAGTCAGAATTAGGAAATTATTTTCTGACAACTTATATGGCAGGGTGAAGAGTGGTCAATTTAAAATATATGAAAAAAATAGGCATTTCTGGAATGTGGTGTTTACCACACCTATACTTTTAACCAGATTGACAGTATGTAGCATGAGTGGTTTAATTTTCTTTAGCACAGTACAAATTCTCTGCATTTTTTCTAATTACCACTTCCTACAAGTCAGCTTGAATAGGAACAGACTCACTTGGTTCAGTTCAATTTCCACAGCTTGACAAGCATTGATATCAAAATTAATTCTAAAATGAAACTTCATAAAAGAAAATCCTATTTGACAAAAGAACTGTTGGGCTTGAATCACAGTTGCATTTGCATTGCGGAGTCCCATTTTTGTTTTTATTGTATATGAAATAATGCTGAGGGAGAGATTGTATACCCAGAGAGAGTTCATTTGAGGCATCCTGATGGTATCTGCCATATGCAAGTAAAGCAGAAGCCGTTTTTATGACATCTTCAGAACTTGAGGATTGAATTACAGTTTCAGTAATCATCAGCTCCCTTTCTCCAGTGTCACTTTTTGGCAATATATTGCATAGAAAAGACTTATGGTTCCAGTTTTATAAGCTTGCAATAAAAATATAACAACTGTTGTATTAAATTATTTAAGTTGTAAACCATTGTGAAAAAGGAGAAAAAGTTTTACCGACACAGAGGCTGAAAAACTGATTATAATGGAGAGCAAAATGTATTGTGCTGATTATTCCCAAGTTTTCCCCTAGTTTAGCGTATTGTAAATCTTCAAGATCTCCTTCAAATCAAGGTTTGGGTATTTGTTGATTATTTAGAACTGGCAATGGCGAGAGAAAAACAGAGTCTGTGCAGTTCCCGGTCACCAATTTATTTTAGCAGAGCTATGAGCACAAATAAAGTCCAAAAAAAAGGTAACAGAGAGAGACTTAAGGTTAAGTAAAAGATGCTAACTGAAAGAAACCTAAATATGAAATGATCACATTCCTTCAGAGCAACATAGACCCTAGATATTGTCTCATCTTTCTAGAATGTTTTTCTGATGTTATACTGGTTTTATGGGCACTCAGTACCTCTATTTCTAGTGTGCTACATACACTATTCTGCTGCTGTGTACAAAAGTACTAGGCTAAGGTGTTTTCTCCACTATTCCTCTATATGTCTCCTAGGTCTTCCCTTCCCATGCCAGGCTTCCAGAACTTTCTGTCCACCACTGCCTCCTTTCCCTTGCATTTCTAGGCCCCACCTAGGAATCTGGGACCATTCTCTGGCTTGATCAGAATGTTGGCATCCCATGCCGCTGCACGCCCACATTCCCTCTCTGCCTAAACAGTTGCTGGATATTTAAACACAGCTCAGATCAGTCATACACACACACCTCCAGACCACCTGGAAGCCAAAGGATATCCCCTTGACTAAATCATCAGATTTTATTTCTCTAAAGGAAATTAGAACAAGGAAGCCCCATATGTCCACCTGGGAAATCAAACCACACAGAGGATGCACAATAACTATGAGTTAGTTGATCCATGAGTGGTGTTCATAACAGTAATTCTGGCTGTTACAGATGTTTTCTCCCTCTCACCTAGACTCAGCAGCAAACTGGCCATATACTCACTTTGATGGCGGTGATAATAATAAAAATAATATAACTTATATGTGCCAGGCACTACAGGTTAATTTATTTAATCCTCATATCCCAAATGACATAAGTATTATTCTAATTCTACAGAGGAAGGCATTTAAGTCTTACTCAAAAATCACATAACTACAAAGTATCAGAATCATGATTCAAATTAAGCACATGGCATTGATATGCTTACCAACTATACTATACTTTACTATCATGGGAATAATTCCATCTCTAGGTCACCATCACAAGAGGAAAGAGTAGGATTACAAATAAGTGTGGAAGACCGGGTATTCCTCTCTGGTGTCTACTATCCTCTCATTTGTTATACATTTGTGGTGTGCAGGTAATGCATCAGAATCTACCTGTGGTCTGAGGACATAAAATGTAGGGTTACTGCTTCCATTATCCATGGGAAAGGAAAACCAGGTAAACGAGGGCAGTTCAGCATGATGCTGCAATTGAAATGTATACAAGGTACTGTGATAGCACTGGGGAAAAAAGAAAGCCCAAGGAATTCAATGCTTTTACTTGTCGACAGCCTATCTCCAGGAGATTAGTAGATCCTCTAAGGGAGAATCCAGAATAGCTTCATCCTCAACTAAGAAGTTTTATAAAAGTGACTGTCGGCTTCCCCTTCCCTGGACTAAGAAGGAAAACACTTGGTTAGGTCATCTCCATGCATTTACTTGGAATCAGCGGCTCTTTTTTTTTCCTTCCACACCTAGAGCTTTATGAGCCAGGAGCACTCAGATCAATTTGGAGCAATTCGTGTCAGCAGTCCGGAATTGGACAATAACTCTCTTGGGCCACTTCCCTGACGTCTGGAATCCATGAAGGTACATTGCTTGGTTTAATTAGAACCTCCTACACCTCCACTTTCAACTTCACAGCAATGAGACTTGAAATTAAGTAGCCACGGATATATGGATAACTAGAAACAAACAGTTTCCTTGGCCTCCCTAACAGATGATTTACATCATCAGGACATTCCACCAATTGGGCTGGCTTCACTGCATGGACATGGCCCAGTAGTAGAGAACCACACTATTTCTTCCACAAATCCAGAGGGTACCATGAGCTCCCTCTGAGAATACTCCAGAAAGTACTAGATATTTCCCATTCTCTATATTATTAAGAACCATGAACTTGAGTTCATAGTAGAGCAGTCAGTATGGGTACTAGTCACTATGTTTAGCTTCCCAGATGTATAGTTTTATAGAAAAGCCGGAAATTGAAAATGCCCTAGTAAAGGAAAGGAAAAACTTTATAAATGATCTAGGATAGCTAAAATCCCTTTTCTTTTATCCCAGGTAACCAAAGTTCTTCCTCTTCTACCTAAAAATGGCAAATATCTTTGTAATCAAAGTCTGTTAATTTTTCTACAGGGCAAAAACAGGATGTTTGGCCCCTGGCAACAAAATCTGTGGGACTACAACTAGAAAAATCTTAAGAACAGGTTGCCTGACTCACCTTGAATAAAGAAAGCTGTTAGGAGCTTCTGACAGACTGAGGGCTGAAGAGAAGAAGATCTTTAGAGAGTTTCTTGGACTAGTGGGATGAGATCAGGTAGCCAAAGATCAGGGCATCTGTACTCCCCAGCACATCACTATGGATGCCCTGGTTGGGATTAAAAGCTTCCTAAAGACTATGAGCAAGTGAAGGATACTCATCTAACCCAAGAACTGCAGAGAACAGTATTTCTTCGGGAAAGCCTTCTGTCTGGTAAGGACCTGGACCCAGAGTTTTTATGTAATAAAAGATAAGAATGTTATAACTTGTACTTTAGAAAAGACCTGAAAGGCAAACAAAGAAAGGAGATGCACATACATATGATCTCTAGAAAAGAAATATTTCTACAGTTTATCCTACAAAGAAAAGAATATATAACAGCTTGGGGCAACCAATCAGAGATCAACTGGTTCGGTTTGCCAGAAAGTGTCACACAGAGATAAATGTTCTATAACTGGTTGCAGCAAGCCTTGCAGACAGCAATTACGATTGCTTACCATAGGAGATTATAAATATGGACATATCTATGAATAATAACTAAGATTGCTGATAATGCAGTAACTTTTCACCTTACATATTCCCTCAGCCTGTAAGGGATAACGTCTCTGAATACAAGGGACAATGAATCCATGCAAGGCACTCAGTTGAAAGTACTGGTTTGTTTCACATCAGCTGTCAAATAGGCCTCTTGAAACTACTATAAGTATTGGAAACAGTGACCTGAGGGTGAAAGGCTCATAGCCCAGGAACTGATCCCTTGAGCCATCCAGATCTCAATCCCTGACGATTTTGATTAATCCATGTTGACAAACCAGATTTGGATCAATAGAAATTATCTGTAACAAGAAACTAATTGTGTATTTAGTAAGTTTAGTGCAATTTTTGGTGGCTTTAAATTTATATGGAAAAGACCTTATTGACTTTTGAAATCAAAATTCATACCATTTTAAGGTAATATTGGCTTGGGTTATAATAAATTACAGTGTTCTACTTTCTCTCTTGGGTAATGGATGATCTGAAGGCATCTAATCTGTTTACTCTTAGCCTATGAATATTCTTTAATTGTTATTTATGGAGACTTCAGATCTATTTACATAATGTAAAAAAAGCACAGAACATGTACCTCTTATGCTACTTTCATATACCATCCCTGTTTAAATGAAGCATCAAATCACAGCCAATTTCAAGCCACGTTACAATCTCAGCTCAAATTATGCAGTGGCTTAGAATAGTAAAAAGATGTCCCTAAAGTTGCATCATCTTCAAGATACAGGAGACCTCAGGTGTTAGAGAGCTGCTGAGAGGCAAAGTAGATGAACCAATGAACCAGTGTTGAATTTATATTGTACTTTTCACACAGGAAGATTATCTAGGCCTTCAGTACACCTATACGTGAATCCATGTGTGACGTCTAACTCTTTTCACTTAATTTCCTTATGGACCATTTTTCTGGAAAGGAAGATGGGAAATTTTAGCCAGCCACAAATGGACTGAGACCCACCAATCTCATTTCACATTGAGCAGGTGTCCCAGACAGGGTTTGAAACCAAGCTACAAAGGTGAAACAAAGAAAATGCTATTAGAGCTAAACAGATGGCCCTTCATAGAAGCTGTGTCATCAGCTGAAACTGGGTTTGTCTTAGTGTCTAGGAGCAAGCCTTGCCTCGTAATTCCTTGCAATTTAATGTTATTAAAATCCTCTTCTTAGCAGAAACTGCTAACATACCTAATAGAAGGAACTTGCTAATCATTCTACCCTCAAAGAGGAGAAAAGTCCAAAGGCCAGGACTTGAGGTCACAGATCTATGAGGGAAGGCTGCAAGGTCCGTACTTTATCAAATGCAGGAACTATAAGAAGGCTTCACCTCTTAAACAGGTTGCTCTTTTTGAGGCCAAAAACAGAATTGCTCGACCATTCTCGGCCTTAAATGGATAAAAACCCCTTTGAATATTCACTAGTATCCTCTAGCATACCTGCATCAGTTATATTAAGGATTTTAAGCAGACTATTAGTGTTTGTTCTGGAGAGTTGTACCTCTGTACCAAGCACATGTAGGGCATTAGGTGAAAGGGTAAAGAGCCCTTGTTTAATAGAATTTACATGCTGTGTGACTCTAAATTGTTCAGCTGCCTGATAGAATTTTTATAAAGCCTAAAATAAATATCCATAAATTTAACAGATATGCAGGAGAACTAAAAAGCTGCTTGTTTTATTTCTTCAAAGGTCACACTTTTTTCCTGTGACATAACAGTAAATAGCATGATAAAATGCCTTCAATGTATCATAAATTATGGAAAATAACCATTGACTTTTCAGGATAGTTTGGGATATAAATACTTTGAGATTAATGTTGTAAATGCTTTACAAATGCAAGCAAGAAATACTGCCAAACTCATAATTGTGCAAATAAATCATAAATATGATATAAATTAAAAATTAGAAGGATGTTAGTCACACTTAACAGAATGGCTCTAGAATAGTCCAGTTTACTCATAAAACACATTGGGTTGAAATTATATAAATTTGAAAACCATTAACAGTGGACCCAGGACTACTATTCATATATTGGAAAATCTGTTTGATTTTGTCCTCTGTGTGTCTCCAGACTATAAATCATCTGGTTCAAGGGCCCCACCTTATAAATTCAAATAATCTCTCAGCCTACTAATATATTTACCAACTATCCTAGTATCATTTAAAAGAAATAATGAAGTAGACTTTAAGAAGATACAATAGCAGTATCCTAGGCCCTCTTCAAGACTATTTATCTATTCTTCAATCTACATCTCAATTCCTCTGTGTCATCTACGTATAGCATATTTCCAGTTGAATTTTCCTTAACATCTTGAACTCATAAACCAGGAGTAAGCAATCTATGATCTATAGCCAACTCTGGGCCAGCTGCCTGTTTTTGTAAATAAAGTTTATTGAAACTCACCTACACCTATTGTCTATGACTTTCTCTACCCTACAGTGATAGAGTTGAATAGTAGCAGCAGAGACCATACAGCCCACAAAGCAAAAAATATTTACTATCTGGCCCTTTACAGAAAAAATTCATCAACCCATTATAAACACAAAGAGAACTTAGGGTCTTTTCCCAAAACATGGGGGTCTCCTCACAGTTCCTACAATTTGGAGGCATATGATGATATGTTCACATTATCGCATACCCTCCATTCTAGTTACATATTACTGCATAACAGAATACTCCAAAACTTAATGACTTAAAACAACCACCATTGTTTTATATCTCATGATTTTGTGGATCAAAAACTTGGACAATTCTCAACTGAGCAATTGTTCTGTTCCATGTGGCATTCATGAGAGGCACTCGCTGGAATTTAGCTGGCCACTGGCTTGTCTGGTGGACTCAGGAGAGTCAGGGCCTCTCCACGTGACCACTTCAGTAGGGTGGTTGAACTTCTTACATAGCAAATCAGGATTCCAAGGTATTCATCTTCCAGTCTTCTTAAAGGCTAGCTCCAGAACTGGCACAGCATCCCTTCTTCTTCAGGGCAGCCCAGATTCACGGGGAAAGGAAATACACCCCACCTCTCAGAGAGAAGAATGTCAAAGAGTTGGTGGCCACCTTTAATCTCCCTCCTAACTTCTCTCTTTGCCTCAAATCTTTTTCCAAACTCTGGTCAGATAGTCCTAAAAGACCAATTTCATGATGTCTCTTTCCTTCCCAGAAGCCTAAAATGGCTTTCTCTTGCCTATTTGGTTTAAACTCCCCTCCCTAGTTTTAAAAACCTATTATGTAATAGGGTTCTGCTGTAACAATATTACATCATTTTGTATTAGTCTCTTCGCTGATCACTAGCCTGTTTGCTCTTATAAATATTCCTGACTTTGATTTACTCCATTCTGCATGATAGGGAGATTGACCCCTGCATTTTTTTCCATAGGCTCCTTGTCAGCTTCTATCTGGACTTGGTCCATGGGAGACATTGCTAGTTGATGGAGCAGGGGGACAGACAGGAAGAAGCCAGGTAGTTCCCGTCTTCTCTCTGCTTCATGTAGATCTCTAGTAGCAACTGCATTTGTATTTCTCCATTGTTCCAGCACCTACTGGTTAGGCCTTCTCAAGTTCTGTCCTCCGCTGGGTGGCCTGGTCTCCGAGCTCCAGAAATTCTATCTTCTCCCTTGTTCTTCCACCCCAAGTGTTGCTGGCAGCTTCCTGAACTTGCTCATCTTTAATGGCCACACTGTCTCCTTTTGGTCATCTCAGGTCATCACCTGTAAAATCAGTTCCCTGTATTAAACTTCTTCTGTGTTAAATACTTAAAGTGGTTTCTAGTCTCCTGATCAGACCCCAAGAGATATAGTCCTCAACACAAAGCATCCACCCAAAGCAGGACAATTTCCTAGCTGGTCTTCTACCCGCCATGTTCCTGTCACTATATTTTTGGCTTGGACAACTGGCCTCATTCTTCAAAGACAGCTCAAGCTCTTTCTTCCTCAGAAAGCCTTTCAACATCACTCTAGGATTTGGTCCTCCAACTCCACCGTTCCTGGGTGACTTCCAATGTGTACATCTTCCCAGTTTGCTGTTTGTTGAGAATGCTTCTGCTGGTCCCTCGTCCCCAGAGTTCCCAGCACAATGCCAGTGCACAGTCAGCACTCAATACATATTGCCCTGATTCATTGGCTTTAACTTATAACCTATTTGTTGACTATAATATCTTCTAGGTCTAATTTCTATTAGGCATCAAGGCTAAGACAATTTGCACTCCTGAATGGCATCCCAACTGAATTTAGGAGTGCTCTTCTGTTCAGTGTTACTATTACCTTTCACCAGCCTGGATGAACATATTATAATGGACAGAGAGAGACAGAGGCATTTGGGGGTGGGGGAAGGACACAAGCTATAACTCAATGTTGTATATGAAGTAGATACCAAATAAACATTAAATGAAAAGGATAGGGGCCCCTGGGTGGCTCAGTCGGTTAAGCAGCTGCCTTCGGCTCAGGTGATGATCCCAGGGTCCTGGGATCGAGCCCCGCATCGGGCTCCCTGCTCAGCGGGAAGTCTGTTTCTCCCTCTCCCACTCCCCCTGCTTGTGTTCCTGCTCTCGCTATCTCTCTGTCAAATAAATAAATAAAATCTTTAAAAAAAAAAATGAAAAGGATAAACCTATATCATGACTGATGGATTTGTGTGGAGAAGCAATGAATGGAAATTTTAAACATGGCACAGTCCTTTGGACCCTTTCATAAAGTACAGTTAATTCTGGTACTAAAGAGCAAGTATAATTTACATCTCTTCAAATAAAATCATATTAAAGGGGAGAAAGTGCCACAGGAAGTAGGTATAATTAGTTAAGATTCAATCTCTAAACTATGTCCCACATTTCTTTTTTTTTTTTTTTTTAAGATTTTATTTATTTGCGAGAGAGAGAATGAGAGACAGAGAGCATGAGAGGGAGGAGGGTCAGAGGGAGAAGCAGAGGGAGCCCGATGCGGGACTCGATCCTGGGACTCCAGGATCATGACCTGAGCCGAAGGCAGTCGCTTAACCAACTGAGCCACCCAGGCGCCCCTATGTCCCACATTTCTTAAACCCCAAGTATTTTATTTTGTTTCTCTGGTTCCGTAAGAGCACCGGAAATATAAAAGGTATTCAATAAATATCTTAATTGTTTGAAGCTACTTACTTGCTGTGCTAGTGTTCTATATACTATAAAACCTAATTAAATAAATGATGTTCCTGCCTTCTAGTTGCAAAATTGTCTTATAAAAGAGACTACTTTAGGCAAAATTGTTTCATTTGGCAGTTCTATTTTGCCAAATAAATTACAAACATGCAAGCTTGCTGTAGAATTTACTACTTTAGGACCAAAAAAAGTGTATCCACTTTAGACCAGAACATGGCCCAGTTTGAGTTCTTAAGATCTGGCATTACCTAATTCAGCTTCTGGTACTCCAGGATGACATCAGAAGGAGCCCCACTTTCTCTCGCAAAAAAGTCTTATGGCTGGTTAATTTTGAAAATGAATTTCTCTCCCACTGCTATTTGTAACCGCAGAGACAGTCTTTTGAATGCTTTACAAAAAAGGCCTCAAGCCTCCTCGTGTTTCACCTTTTCATTGCACTGACGATCATTTGGAGGGCAGACTTGTTCCAGACAGCTTTAATTAAACTGTACCAAGGACGCAGATAGATGTCAATGGAAATGATCCATAACATGAGGCTAAGCATGTATTTAACAGTGTTCCATCCAGTTCAATCACCTTCTAGCATTTCAGTGGCTTTATATTCATGTAGCAAAGACTGAATGTGTGTATTTTTTTTAAGCCATCCCATTAGTGACCATATGCCTGGGCTTCAATGGATAGAAGAACTGTCTGCAATCTGCCAGGGATTTAGGGACATCAATAATTTGTGAATAGTCATGTTGGTACTGGTCGAAGGGTTAAGTGCTCTGCACACCAGGGGCACCTCTTTTGGGATTTGAACTCTTAGTTGACTGTTAGGAACCTTATCCCCTGTGAGGTTCCTACTACATGCTGCTAGTCAGATGCATCCAGCTGTATGTAGCTGGGAAGCATTATTAGCTCTGGGATTTAAAGATCTGTGTTAAGTACTAATAAAATGGTATCTTTGAGTTAAAAAGCAGGGAGAGTATATTGTAGCAACCTCAAGGAGGTTTTCATGTTCCATATTAAGCTTATGGTCTTTCCTTTTTCTTCTTCTTTCATACATTCCTTGTGAATAAATAGCACAGCATCCCTTTGAGAAAGAGTTTATATTTGATATTTGTTCCTACAACTTGCTGGTAGGTTAGGTTGCATCAGCCTAAGTGGAAAAATAAATGTCTCCTTAAAATAAGAGAAATTGTGTCACAGAAAGCTTTTCTTCCAATTCCCCTACCCAGAGGGTGAGAAACAGGTAATGTGAATGATTTTTGAAACTGAGCTCATTTTAATGGTCTTGCATGAAAATTTCTCAAATATGGTTGTTTTAATACCAACAGCAACAGAAATCATATAAAATTTTTTGTTTCGGGTGCTAGCCTGTAACTTCATGTATACTTAACCCTTGTTGGATTTGCTCACTATTGTGGCCCCTGAACTTGGCACACAGACTGTACTTAATAAATGCTTGCTGGATGAAGGATGGATGGAAGAAAGCAAGGCAAAAGGGAAGGAAACACTTGGGAAAACAGTTCGTCAGTCTGACCTGCATGTAAGTTGTTCTCTAACATTTTCTGGAAGCTGTTTTGGATCTGGGAATGGACGTTTAGCAATAAAACATGTTTCAACAGTTTTAATGGATATGGATTTCAGAGCTAACTTACGTTATTATGACCTCTTAATAATAGTAGCACTTAGTTTCCTTGTTGGGTAAACGATAGGAATAATTACGTTGTGATGACAGGTTTCCATCAGATTATGTTTTTTCTACCACATATCTAGACGTGATTTTGTTTTAATATAACTGAATACTCCCACAGTAGGTGTATTGTGGTTTCATTAAGGAGGATAATGATTATTAAGCAAAGGGATCTTTAGTCTTTGTCTCTTTGAATATCTAACTGATCTTAAAGATAGTTTGTCTAGTTTGCAGTTGCTATTCTATGTGTGTTTGTTTCCAGTAATTTCAGCCTTCTTACCCTGGAGTAGTTTTACCCATCCCTTAATTGTCCCTAGCTGATGTCTAGAAGGTCTTTTTAAACTTCTTAACTGCACAATGAGGCCTCAGTGGACACCTAGATTGTGTCTGCTTGGGAAAATGCCAAGCACTAATGAGTATTTTGTTTAATGTAATGGAAACTGAAAGTGCACGGCTTCTTCCTTGACTGATCAATGCCCACTTCTGTTGTTTGAATGTATCTATACATTCTGAATTCTAGAAGAAAGGTCACAGAGGGCAGAGCACTTAGTGTCTGCCCAGGAAGGACTCGAAGAGTCAGAATAGTGTTTATATGGGGCTCAGTAGGTAGAAAGCACTTGAGTTAGCACTTCGCTCCTCCTCTTCTATGTTCAGATATGCCATCATTTCTTTCAAACCCATAATCTTAAACTTTTCCATGTTAATTTTCAAGTTTTACATTAATTTAAGAAAATAACAATAAGGAAATAAATTATGTTGTTAAATGCCAGGCCAGGCAATACACACTTACATCTATATGATTATTTCATCATTGTTTTATTATTATAAAAAAATTGGCATATGTTTAGGTTATTGCTTGCTTTTTTCCAAATTCGAATCCAATGTGTCCAACAAAATTTTAAATAAATAATTAAAAACTATCTCTTAGTTACATTAAAAGTCAGATTTGCTGGAAAACCAAACCGTAAGCAATTCAGTAGGCCAATATGATCAAGTATGTTTGAGTGAAGAATAATGATTTCCATGTGGTACTAATGTTCTGCACACAACTAAGTGGAAAGTGTAGGGAGTGTTTCTGAGATTTCATTGCACCTTATCTGGTTGAATAGATACAGAGCTCCCTTTGGTAGTATTTATAATTTATAGCCTACTTGAATGTGCTAGATAATTTTCAAAAATAAAGATTTCAAGCCATTTCAAAACTTAAAAGAGATTTACCTCTCATCTAAAGCTTCCTAGGTTTAGAGATTTCATAAAAGTTCTGTGAGGATGTTAAGAAAAGATGGGATTTGAATGTGGGGAGTGGAAATAATCTAATTCCTCAACTTTGAGTGTAATGACTCATTTTCTCTTTATTTATTTCCAAGCCATCGTCTTGCTTCAATCATACTATCTCATGCCTTTGGAGACTCTGGAACTATGCAAGCCTCCCCAAATTAGAGTTTATCAAAGAAACCTTGCCTGACCCTTAATAACTGTTACTATACCGAAACACTGTGATACCTTAACTAGGTTGCTTATTACACTAAGCATGGAGTCCTTTGACCCTTAAGGTTCAATATCGATCAGCCCTACTTCTGTCAATACTGCCTCTTGTGTCAAAAATTTTCAATGTGGAATAAATTCAGGAATGGATAGTCTTTTTAACCGACAGACATTCCAAATATTTAATTCTTACGCATTCTAATTTCTATCCAGTTAAATAATTTGCTTATTTCCTCTGTACTCTTAATTAATGATTGGAGATTGGGCATCATTGTGAGTATATCATGAAATGTCATTACAATAAGAAAGTTAGCTATAAATGATCCTTATATGAGGTACAGGACTCACATAAAAATCTTAACTGATAAAATGTTACCCTAAAGGAGACTTAAAGCAAATGCACCACAAATTCAACAAAAGTGGCTGAGCTGTTTTTTAACCCTGAGATCATGGCAGGGAAAAGGAATATTCAAGTGCTTGCTTTGCCCTTGGATAGTGCAATAGCAGGTTCATTTTTCTTAAGCTGTGGTATTTTTCAGATTGTCAAATGTGTATCAAAGAGTTATTCTCTTGGCAAGTTTTATGAATTTCAGTTCCATTTTCTTGACAATTTAAAATTCAATTATCCAATTATAACTAAAGGTCATTAGTCTAATGTGGCAACTTCGTGATTGTTTTAGTTACATGAGAATTTCTCAGTTTAGAGAAGAAATTCTCCCATAGGAGAAATTTTTATTGTACTTAGAAGTTGGATGATATTTGAAAATATTTTTGTTTTCTTCTTGTGCTTTTATTATTTATTGATAAAAACATATACTTAATATTTCTCCCAATCCCATATTTATAATGTACAGTATCTCATGCTTCTCTTCTATGATTAACATTACCAAACTAACAGCAAATGATAATGCTGATTTTTATCATCATTAGATTTTTGTCTTAAATGTTTCTTTAGGGTTGGTTTCCTGTGTTTTATTTTAAGTAACTTCAACCTGAACATCACTTCAAGACCTAGGGAAAGGCATTTTCATGTCAATCATGTTACAAGTAGAATTTCTGCTAAGATTACAAACCAGAAAAGACCTAATATTTTAACATTAGTTCCATTTGGTCTGATAATGGAGAACTCCTCAAGCAAAACATACTACAGAACCAGACACAATGGATTCTCACTGGCTGTCAGACCTGTACAAGATACAAGAATCTTTATCCCTATCCCACCCCCAAAGAAATTGACTTTGCAGTGTAGATAAATGTATTCAACAGCTATTGATTGTGCACCTGCTCTGTGCAAGGTCAACAGTGAAAACTCATCATTTTTCTGTCTTTGCATTTTAGAGTTCCAGACATTGCTGGAAGCAGACAAGATGTTACCCACATTGGTTCTGGGACCCATGACCCATTTACCCCAAGGAGAAATTATCCATGTGGCAGGTTGGCTTAGCACCTAGACCACCAAACAAACATTCCACCATTCTGCTTGAGGAGCAAGCTTTTACAATAACTGTCCTCAGCACCATTCTGAAATGTCTTTGTCTTACTGTGCAAAGCTGGCCTAAGGATTTTAATACTGAAGTTCACAGTTAAGTGGTAAGACCCCAAAGAAACTGTTCTACCTAAGTATAAACATGTGTTTTGCTTCAAAGTTCAAAAATATTTCCAATTAACACAAATTCCCTGAACTGTTAGCTTCCTGCTACAGCTCTGTAAGTCAGCTTCTTCTGAGCCATTTGAAATGTAAATGGACTGATTTTTCTGATTGTGGTTTACCAATTATGTCAGCACTATCATTTCTTGTCCACTGACCAGAGAAATTGTAGCTATGGATGAGAATTGTATCTGGTATTCTATATGGCTTCTCTTGTCGACTCACTTTTAAGGTCCAGCATTTGGCAGGGAATGTTCTTTCCTATATCACAGATTGTTGTATTCATCCACTATTGTGCTAAGCACACATTTTGCCCAGATTATTTCATTTAATCCTCACAGAGATCCTCAAAAGTGCAAAGAGATTAAAATGACTTGGACAGGGTCATTACAAACTAAAGAACCAGAACTTGAACCAAGGTCATCTGATACCAGAGCTCTTGCTTTTAATCACTTCCTTTAGACTGTTTCTCTAAGAATTGTCTTTCCATAATTAAAATTAGATCATAAATTTTTAAAAAATCTGTTAGAATTCACAGTGAATTCTAAGAACATAAAAACTAACTTGATCAAAATGGAAGCTTTTTATTAGTGTCCCACAGATAGAGGTAGACATGAGAGGCATATACATTTACTTCTAATTTACAAGTTGGTATGCAGGAGCAGAAAATTTGGTGATGAAAGACTCTTTCTGCCTTTGTAGACATTTAGCCCATTCTTCCATCACCTAATTGTTCAGACGAATAATTTAGCTTTAGCTTTCCCACCGTAGTCAAAAGGTTCTGCACAGCTATTTGAGTATATGTGATGAGGACTATTTTGAATAAAGGGTGAATGTGACTTTCATTTTTCCCTGTGATATATAAACATGAGTCAGTAAAGGTTCCTCTTGAAATTTCTCTAAGGAATGGCACGCATTTCCAATTAATCTCATAACTTGTCTTTAACTATTTGGCCATGTTCCATAATTGATAGATGTTATTTTAATTCAGATACAAAAAAAAAGGGAGGGAAAGAGAGAATGGTCAGGCCAGAGAATGGGATATACATCAGCTTTTGGACACATTCTATTCATGCAGTCAATCAGTGTTTTTGAGACCCCAACACACTTTGGCTGATCTCTGTGAGTGATCCTATTGTCAGTTCTTAACAAAATTGCAAAAATGACTTGCCCTAAAAGATCCATCAAATTGGTGGCAAAGCTTGCTCAGGGTCTAAGACATCCAGGCTACCACTCACCTTTCAAGGGTGGGCATCAGTGGAAAATCACTTAAGCCTCTAGAAAAGATGGTTTTTAAGGAGAAATTTGACTGATGGAACCTGGTGGACCAGGAGAGAAGAGACACTTGAAGTCTGGGTGAAGGTGTGCAATGAATGTAAAAAAAACAGATCACAGCAGAAAGTAAAGAAATGTTGAGAGAATAAAAAGAAGAACACATTTGCCTTCACTATCGCTTACATGCTGGCACCCAAATCCCTTCACACAGCACTCAAGGTCCTCCACAAGTTGACGCCAACCCTCTCTGTAAGACTCCTCCACCAGCATTCTCCCTGTGTGTGGGTTTTTTTTTTTTTTAAGATTTTATTTATTTATTTTACAGAGAGAGACACAGCGAGAGAGGGAACACAAGCAGGGGGAGTGGGAGAGGGAGAAGCAGGCTTCCCAGGGAGCAAGGAACCTGACACGGGGCTCGATCCCAGGACTCTGGGATCATGACCTGAGCCGAAGGCAGATGCCCAATGACTGAGCCACCCAGGTACCTCTCCCTGTGTTTTCTGTCCCGCCATCACATTGTGGGCTTTTTCCTAGACACAGCACACTTACCCACGTGAGTGCCCTTGATTATGTTTCCTCCTCTGCCCCCACTGCATCTGCCTGGCAAAGTCTTACTCAGGTGTTGAGCCTCTAAATACCACTCTCTTTTCATGAAACCTTGGTAAACTCCTCTCCCCCACCTCCACTCACCACCCCCAACAAGCAGAAATAACTGCCTTCTCCCTGAGTCTCTCGAGTTCTTTCAGTATCTTCCGTGTCATGTTGACATTTGCTACAGGTCAAAAAGCCTATCTCGTTCATCTCCATATACCCAAGGGCATAGTCAGCATTTAATACATTTTTATTGATATGTGTTGCTTCTGTATGTCCAGGCTGGTTTCCACTCCCTGGCTCCGCCCTGATACCCCTCCTAATAATAATGATGATAACTAGCATTTGTAAAATACTCCACAAATTGCCAAGCACCTTCGAATCTTAGTTTTCTAGGATTGCCATAACAAAATATCCTAGACTGGGTGTCTCAGCAGAAATTTGTTTTCTTACAGCTCTGGAGGCTAGAAGTCCAAGATCAAGGTGTTAGCAGGTTGGTTTCCTCTGAGGCCTCTCTCCTTGGCCTGCAGATGGTCATCTCTTTCTATAAATGCACCAGTCATATTGGATTAAGGCCTGCCCATATGACTTCATTTTACCTTCATTAACTCTTTAAAGGCCCTATTTCCAAATGCAGGTGTATTCTAAGGTATTGAAGGTTAAGACTTCGACATATGCAAGGGGCAGGAGTGGGGGACACAATTCCCAGCCCACACCAATATCCATGATCTCATTTATCCCCTCAAGTTGTAGCTAAGCCACTCTGTACCTCTGCACTGTTTTGTGAGCTTTGAAAGACAGCTCTTCTATGCCTGGCCTTACTCCTTCAAGGCTTCCCCAGTCTAGACCTCAAGTCTATTTATTTTGGAAACGGGCTTTGTTCCTTAATGAGTGAATAAAAGCAATACTTCAAAATTCTAGCATTTCTTACTGAGTTTAAACTGTCAAAAGCCAAGCCCTAATGTCAGTATAAGAAGAAAATAGAAACACTGCCTCTTTTCTAGCACTGAGAACCCAGGAAAACAATGTAATACTTTGGGGGGAGTTTTGTAGTTAGTAAAACACTGAGTAAGGGATTTAAAGGTGCATGTATTAGCCACTTCAACGGAACAAATGCTGGCCTTGTTAAGAAGGGAGTCAGGTATTGCTACCTAATATATCAGCCTACATTCTGACCCTGGGACCTGTGAAACACCCAACACATGAATGGCTCCTTTCATGTGAAGAAAAGTGCTCTTTTCAAAAGGGTCTTAATCTCAGGCCAAAGAAAGGAGTATTTTGCCTTCTACAGTCTGTTGACTAGGAGTCTTTTTAGAATCCCGCAAATTTCCCGTGTTTCTGGGTTAGTCAGGTGTGAGCAGGGGATTCTTAGGCGGTAAGAAGACACTGTTCTGCAGATCTCAGCCATTTCTGTCTCCTCCCTCATAAATCATTCTCATGCTGTGAAAGAAAAAGTGGTCACATGCAACCCAATGCATTTCAGCACTGCATTTGAGCTCCAGGTGGGCGATGTGGTGCATGCGGCATTGACTGTGACCTGGATGTGGAGCCTGGATCTGGGCCAACCTCAGACCTACCTATCTTCAGAAGGGCATTCACTATCCCCGTCCTCTTTTCACTCATGTGTTGGAAAGTGGGGAAATAAGGGTGCCTGGGTGGCTCAATTGGTTAAGCACCTGACTCTTGATTTCGGCTCAGGTCATGATCTCAGGGTCATGAGATTGAGCCCCACATTGGGCTCTGTGCTGAGTATGGAGTCTGCTTAAGATTCTCTCTCTCCCTCTCCCTCTGTCCCTCTCCCCACTCACGCTTTCAAAGAAAGAAAGAAAGAAAAAGAGAGAGGAAGGAAGGAAGGAAGGAAGGAAGGAAGGAGGAAGAAAAAGAAAAGTGGGGAAATAATAGAGGTTCAAGACATGTCATAAGATAATTCCTCTCCAGGGGCGCCTGGGTGGCTCAGTCGGTTAAGCGTCTGCCTTTGGCTCAGGTCGTGATCCCAGGGTCTTGGGAATGAGCCCTGTATCGGGCTCCCTGCTCTGTGGGGAGTCTGCTTCTCCCTCTCCCACTCCCCCGATCATGCTTTCTCTTGCTCTCTCTCTCTCTCAAATAAATAAAATCTTTAAAAAAAAAAGATAATTCCTCTCCAGTCAAGAATTATCTCCTTTCCTTTTATGAGGTGGAAAAAATTGAAGTCATCCCTATGAGAAAGATAGTTTTTGAAATGCTTTGGGGAGAGTGAGAGGCTGCTGACTCTGTCCTGCCCAAGCCACTGTTTCTTTTTTCTCTCTTCTCTTCTCCCTGTCACATCCTCAGGCTTTTAACAGAAACATTTTAGGTGCGCCTGGGTGGCTCAGTTGGTTAAGCGACTGCCTTCAGCTCAGGTCATGATCCTGGAGTCCCAGGATCGAGTCCCGCATCGGGCTCCCTGCTCGGCAGGGAGTCTGCTTCTCCCTCTGACCCTCCTCCCTCTCATGCTCTCTGTCTCTCATTCTCTCTCTCTCAAATAAATAAATAAAATCTTAAAAAAAAAAAACAGAAACATTTTATATCAACATTGTGATTTGACTTATGTGTGTAAATAAATGCAAATAGCTATTAAATGCTCAGGAAATAGCATAACCATCTTTTTACACAATTTGTGCTAGTGAATGTTTTTCATTATAGTTTCCCATATCTGCTGCCAAAAAAGCAGTTCCCAGAGATCTTTGTGGCAACATATGTATCCAGATCATGATTGCAAGAAACCCGGGACACTGTATGGAGGGGAATGCCATTAAGATTTGAAACTTAAGAAATTTTTTTTTTTTTTAAGATTTTTACTTATTTATCTGAGAGAGAATGAGAGACAGAGAGCACGAGAGGGAAGAGGGTCAGAGGGAGAAGCAGACCCCCAGCCGAGCAGGGAGCCCGATGTGGGACTCGATCCAGGGACTCCAGGATCATGACCTGAGCCGAAGGCAGTTGCTTAACCAACTGAGCCACCCAGGCGCCCAAAACTTAAGAAATTTTTGCCATTAGGTGATCAATATTTAACTAGCAAGGTTTTGATCTTGGAGTACACAAATATATATTTGATTTTTGTTTCTAGAATCTTTTTAAGAATATATGTGGACTAATTTTATTGTTTCCTTGATTTCCTCAACCGTGCCCTCTTGCCAGAAGAATTTAGGATGTAGTGATTGTGTCAGAATTAGGCTATGCTGATGACTATTCCAGCACCCTAAAAACAAAGGTATGTTAGAAGCTTCTTGCAGTACACAAATCAAGTTGTAAGCAGTTACGGGAAAATGAGCATTTTTATAAATGAGTCTTAATTTCCCTCTCGCTTATGTGTATCTGGCTATGAAAATACCTCTCAGTACTTTTTTTCCCGGGCCTATGTGGTGTGTGTGCACATCTGCCTACTAGGTCTCATCCTCGCTCCCGTCTCCCTCAAGAGCTCTCCCTGCCCTTCATCTAGTTGTTGGGAAGTGAGACAGATGGACAGATCGGGCTGAGTGAGTAGAGCTTGTAGATAGCAGAAACAGACTTACTCGCTTTGATGCTGGTTTCTAGCGAGTCCTGACCATACACATGGCTGAGTTGCCATAAAGCCAGCTAAGCCAATCGCACCAAATAGGTTAAAAGATGACATGGAAAGATTTTAAGCAGGAATGATTTCATTCTTTCCTCTCACCAGTTACATGGGTAGCTGGTTCATGCACTGATTTGTTATACCACATAGGACTGGCTCACAGGCCCTGGCAGTTTTCTGAAGTCTTGATGGTGTAGGAAACTGCCTCCTGGGAATGTGCAGAGAAGAGAGGGCAGAGCTCCTCTCCTTCAAGGACACTCTCTTCAATCCATTGTCTCCTATCTGTGTGCAATAGTCTAGTCTCAAAATACAGTGATTGAATAAAATTTTATTTCAGATAATGAATGCATTGATTTAATAAAGGGTTTGGACTACATGGTATTATAGTTCCCTAAATGAACACTGAAATCCTAAAATGAGAAAACTTACCATTGGTCCCAGTTAAATCATAGCCACATCTTTTAAACTGAATACCCTAATAAGATACCAACCCATTTGATACTTAAAAAAAAAAAAAAAAAGATCTGTTATCTTATATAAGTGCTTAACGTTTTCCAGCTATTTTCAAGCCACCTGTTTTTCCTATCATAAGTACATCTGGCTTCAGGCAAACAGATTATAGCCATGGACAACTGACTAATTTATGGTGTTTTTATATTTTCATGTTTTTGGCAGACTAATCCAGTTTGATATATTAACCTAGCTTTCAGAGATGAAATCTTGCACTCTTGCAACCCTTTTACTTTGTTCTCTTCCAAACTCTAGAATATTTTTGCCATGTCCTAAAGTTTAATTAGAAAACAGAGGCAGGGAGAGTGAACCGCACCCTAATGTTCTGCCCATCTAGTGCCCTTTCTAGCTGACTCCCTAAAAGGAATTGCGTATCTATGTACCCAATGTTGGTGGTGAAAGATCTTTGTATTTTTGATCATTCATTATCCCTAAGTTCATTGGGCACACTGGCACTTGTGTTTGCACCCTAGTTTGAGAACTGCATTTTTGTCCAAATGTAATGGGAGTTTGGTAGGTCAAACCAAACAGAAAAATCAGTTGCCTGTCTTTGCAAAAGAAATTTGGAATTTTGAGCCACAGGGAATGGAGGCAAGACTATTTTCTGTGGTGGTTTTGCTTCTGCATCTTGAGTTAGAGAGGCCAAGTCCACTCACCTTCTTTCTTTCTTTCTTTTTTTTTTTAAGATTTTATTTATTTATTTGAGAGAGAGAGATCACAGAGGGAGAGGGAGAAGCAGACTCACCACTGAGCAAGAGCCTGATGCAGGGCTCAATCTCAGGACCCGGAGATCATGACCTGAACCAAAGGCAGACAGTTAACTGACTGAGACACCCAGGCACCCATCCACTCACCTTCTCAGAGCATCTTTTTGATCTGACATCCCTTGGTGGGTCATCCCTTAGCTATTTATGGGTAATCTTAACTGCTGGGTTGAAATGCCGTATTCTTCCTTTAAATATCTACCCAAGGCCCCAAAGTAATGGATGTGTTTTTAATAAATCTAACACATAAATCATTCATCGGATATACTTCAAAACAGAGAAACTGTCAGAACACCCTGAAAGATTCATTAGAACATTTTTTTTGCAGACACTGTCACCAAGTTAAATAAATGTATGTCAACTCAAAACAGAGATGAGAAATGGCAGAGTGCTTTATGGATTGAGAGTCAAGAAGATAAGAATTCTAGTCTTGTTTCTATTGCTGACTTGTTTAATGACTGTAGTGTGTTTATCACTTATTCCTAACTACTCTTACCTCTGGCCAAAAACCAGAACAATGTCTACAGAAGATTTTGAGCTCCTAAGAGAATAGCTCTCAGTAAGTTCAGTTGGCAGTAATAAAGCCTTCCATGTATAAGCATCGAGTTAGCTTGCCTAGATTCAAGTCCCAGCCCCACCATAGCTTGGTACTTAACTCTGAATTAATCCCTATTGAAGAGTATTAAGAGGCCTATTGTTATTGTATATAATACTGCAATGAACATCTTTTAACACATAGATGTGTTTGTGCATTTATATGTTTATACCTGTAGGGACAATTCCTAAAAGTGGACTTCTTCGCTCTAAGATTAGGTAAACTTAAAATGTTCATGTATATTGCTAACTGGCCCTTCAAAAAAGTTATGCCAAATTTGTACTCCCGAGTATATGTATGTTCCTATTTCCTCACACCGTTGCTCACACTATTCTTTAGCAATTTTATGTTTTTAATCATTATCAGTCTCAAAAGTCAAAGAGGGAATTTCCCTTCTTGAAGTAAAGATGTGCATCTTTTCATATTTCAGTAGTCTTTAATTAGTTCATACCCCATTCCCAATTGTCTCAGGTATATGTGGTGTTTTTCTTATTGCTTTATACTGCTCTTGATAGATTAAGATCTTTGTAAAAACAGAAAAGTTGGGAAGAAATTCTAATTTCATTCACAGGCAATATTTATAAATTTGAAAATTTTATGGTAATTGGCATCACTAACTGAAAAAGGACAAAACCTCCCCAGGTATGAATAAGTAAAAGGACCTAGCTGTGTATAACCTAAGTTATTACCATACTAATCACTGAAATAACCCATTTATATGTAAAGCAAAATGCAAAGAAGCCAAGATGTGATCTCTGCCCTTAAGGAGTTCATAGTAAAGAACATAAGACACATTCACGTGAAATGATAATAATCTGAGATCATAAAAGGAACAAGTGATATAGACCATAAAATGCTCTAGGAATTAATGAAGGAAAGCTCATCTTCAGTTGGAGTAGTTAAAGAAAATAAAGATTATCACAAAAAAGAAAACACATGCTTGAATAGACAGAAAGATTCAGAAGTGTGAAAGTGAGAAGACAGGGGCAACAGTTAAGTAGACAAGTGTCTACATCCAAGAAAGGTTTGGATGAGGGAGCAGTGGGAAAGTTTACACATGGAAAGATGGGCTGGGGTCAAATTATTGAAGGCCTTGGCTATCTGGTTTAGGTTGGATTTTATGCTATAGGAGCAACTGAAATTTTTGACAAGAGTATAGACATAATGAAAATAATTTTGGGGCGCCTGGGTGGCTCAGATGGCTAAGCGTCTGCCTTCGGCTCAGGTCATGATCCCAGAGTCCTGGGATGGAGTCCTGTATCAGGCTCCCTGCTCCTTGGGAGCCTGCTTCTCCCTCTGCCTCTCTCTCTCTCTGTCTCTCATGAATAAATAAATAAAATCTTCAAAAAATAAAAAATAGGGGCACCTGGGTGGCTCAGTCATTAAGCGTCTGCCTTTGGCTCGGGTAATGATCCCAGGGTCCCAGGATCGAGCCCTGCATCAGGCTCCCTGCTCAGCGGGAAGCCTGCTTCTCTCTCTCCCAGTCCCCCAGCTTGTGTTCTCTCTCTCGCTGTCTCTCTCTGTCAAATAAATAAATAAATAAATAAATAAATAAATAAATAATAAAAAAAGAAAAAGAAAATAATTTTTAGAATGATCATTTTGATCTGTGAATGATGAATGAATGAGTGAATGAATGGAAAATGTTGCATTAGAACAGGGGATGACAATTGTACTAATACTTTCTGTGGGAGAGAATCAACTAGTTTAAAGAAAAAGTGGTTTATATTTTCTTTTTTTTTTAAAGAGTTTATTTATTTATTTGACAGAGAGAGACACAGTGAGAGAGGGAACACAAGCAGGGGGAGCTGGAGAGGAGAAGCAGGCTCCCCGCTGAGCAAGGAGCCCGATGTGGAGCTCGATCCCAGGACCCCGGGACCATGACCTGAGCCGAA